GTATGTATGTATGTATGTATGTATGTATGTATGTATGTATGTATGTATGTATGTATGTATGTATGTATGTATGTATGTATGTATGTATGTATGTATGTATGTATGTATGTATGTATGTATGTATGTATGTATGTATGTATGTATGTATGTATGTATGTATGTATGTATGTATGTATGTATGTATGTATGTATGTATGTATGTATGTATGTATGTAATGTATGTATGTATGTATGTATGTATGTATGTATGTATGTATGTAATGTATGTATGTATGTATGTAATGTAATGTAATGTAATGTAATGTAATGTATGTATGTATGTATGTAATGTAATGTAATGTAATGTATGTATGTAATGTAATGTAATGTATGTATGTAATGTATGTATGTGTAATGTAATGTAATGTAATGTAATGTAATGTAATGTAATGTAATGTAATGTAATGTAATGTAATGTAATGTAATGTAATGTAATGTAATGTAATGTATGTATGTATGTATGTATGTGTGTATGCATGTATGTATGTAGGTATATATATATGTAAAAGTACACTTCACTGTTTTTGCACGGTTGTCGAAGCTACACACTGTGTGGACGCATTTTGTTTGCAACGGGCACACAGCCCACACATAAAAGACATGCTAGACCGAGGTTGGAGACGTGACAGGGGGTCAAACATTAGTACTTAACTTGCTCCTTGTACCAACCCTGTCTTAAACAAGTCACATCAGGCGCCTCACTGCCCACCTTCTCACTTGCACCGAAGCAACCCCACTCCGGAGATATGCTTTTTGCCTTTTTTCCCGCAACAAGCCGATCGTGTGTTGACCTCCGCTTCATCAGCGTTTAGGGGCCCAAGACACGATCGGTCGCAACGCCCCTTCACGAGCAAACAAGCCCGATACCAAGCGCAGAGCCGATTCTTGGAGGTTGGCCTTTGCACCAGTGCAACCATGGTGGAAAGAAACAGTTTCAAAGTGATGTTTTTGCTATCGCGGTTGTATTTATGTATTTATGTATGCATGTATGTAATGTAATGTAATGTAATGTAATGTAATGTAATGTAATGTAATGTATTGTAATGTAATGTATGTATGTATGCATGTATGTATTGCAATGGGATGGAATGTAATGTAATGTAATGTAAACATTATGTAATATAATGTATGCATCCATGTAATGTAATGTAATGTAAGGTAAGGTAATGTAATGTATGTAATGTAATGTATGTCATGTATGTATGCAACGTAATGTAATGTAATGTAATGCAGTGCAATGTATGTATGCATGTATGTAATGTAATGTAATGTAATGTAGTGTAACGTAACGTACCGAAATGTAACGTATGTATGTAATGTATTAAATGTATGTATGTATGTATGTATGTATGTATGTATGTATGTATGTATGTAATGTAAGGTTGGTAAGGTAAGGTAAGGTAATGTAATGTAATGTGATGCAATGTAATGTAATGTATGTATGTATGTAATATGCATGTATTGCAATGCATGAATCTAATGTATGCATGCATGCATGCATGCATGTATGTATGTATGTATGTATGTATGTATGTTTTTGTGTATGTATGTATGTATGTATGTATGTATGTAATGTATGTATGTAATGTATGTATGTATGTATGTATGTATGTATGTATGTATGTAATGTATGTATGTATGTATGTATGTATGTATGTAATGTATGTAATGTATGTATGTATGTATGTATGTATGTATGTATGTATGTATGTATGTATGTATGTATGTATGTATGTATGTAATGTATGTATGTATGTATGTATGTATGTATGTATGTATGTATGTATGTATGTATGTATGTATGTATGTATGTATGTATGTATGTATGTATGTATGTATGTATGTATGTATGTATGTATGTATGTAAGTGTACTGTATGTAATGTATGTAATGTAATGTAATGTAATGTAATGTAATGTAATGTAATGTAATGTATGTATGTATGTATGTATGTATGTATGTATGTAATGTATGTATGTATGTATGTATGTAATGTATGTATGTATGTATGTATGTATGTATGTATGTATGTATGTATGTATGTATGTATGTATGTATGTATGTATGTATGTATGTATGTATGTATGTATGTATGTATGTATGTATGTATGTATGTATGTATGTATGTATGTATGTATGTATGTATGTATGTATGTATGTATGTATGTATGTATGTATGTATGTATGTATGTATGTATGTATGTATGTATGTATGTATGTATGTATGTATGTATGTATGTATGTATGTATGTATGTATGTATGTATGTATGTATGTATGTATGTATGTATGTATGTATGTATGTATGTATGTATGTATGTAATGTATGTGTATGTATGTATGTATGTATGTATGTATGTATGTATGTATGTATGTATGTATGTATGTATGTATGTATGTATGTATGTATGTATGTATGTATGTATGTATGTATGTATGTATGTATGTATGTAATGTATGTATGTATGTATGTATGTATGTATGTATGTATGTATGTATGTATGTGTATGTATGTATGTATGTATGTATGTATGTATGTATGTATGTATGTATGTATGTATGTATGTATGTATGTATGTATGTATGTATGTATGTATGTATGTATGTATGTATGTATGTATGTATGTATGTATGTATGTATGTATGTATGTATGTATGTATGTATGTATGTATGTATGTATGTATGTATGTATGTATGTATGTATGTATGTATGTATGTATGTATGTATGTATGTATGTATGTATGTATGTATGTATGTATGTATGTATGTATGTATGTATGTATGTAATGTAATGTAATGTAATGTAATGTAATGTAATGTATGTATATGTGTAGTGTAATGTAAGGTAAGGTAATGTAATGTATGTATGTATGTATGTATGTAGGTAAATATGTATGTAGTGCGATGTGTGATTGTAATGTATGTATGCATGTATGTATGTATGTATGCATGCATGCGTGTATGTATGTATGTATGTATGTATGTATGTATGTATGTAATGTATGTATGTATGTATGTAATGTATGTATGTATGTATGCATGTATGGTAATGTAATGTAATGTAATGTAATGTCATGTGATGTGATGTGATGTGATGTAATGTAATGTATGTATATGTATGTATGTATGTATGTATGTAAGGTATGTATGCAATGTAATGTATGTAATGTATGTAATGTATGTAATGTATGTAATGTATGTAATGTATGTAATGTATGCAATGTATGTATGTATGTATGTATGTATGTATGTATGTATGTATGTAATGTATGTAATGTATGCAATGTATGTAATGTAATGTAATGTATTGTAATGTAATGTAATGTATGTATGTATTTAATGTAATGTAATGTGATGTAAGGTATGTATTAATGTAATGTCATGTGATGTGATGTAAGGTATGTATGTAATGTAATGTATGTAATGTAATGTAATGTAATGTTATGTCATGTTATGTTATGTTATGTATGTATGTATGTAGGAAGTAGGTATGTATGTATGCATGTATGTATGTATGCATGTATGCATGTTTGTATATATGTATGTAATGTAAGGTAATGTCATGCCATGCAATGCAATGCATTGCATTGAAATGTGTGATTTAATGTAATGTAATGTAATGTAACGTAATTTAGTGTATGTAATGTATCAATGTATTTATGTACGTACCTACGTATGTATTCTTGTATGTGTGTGTGTACAAAGGTCAAAGTAAATGGCAATCATATCGGATATACATGTGCATATATGCGGCGCACGTACATATGCTGATATTGCTTTGTGAGCGGGCGCGGTTATGTTGGGTTCTTTGAGCTCGCATTGGGGATGACCAGGCTTACTATGACCTCCGGATGCAGCTGGCAACTGGCAGGATCAGTCGGCGCTATGTTGTTCTGGCCCATGGCTGGCTACCACATGGAAGGACCGGCATTGACGCGCTCCTCACGTGGCGGGCTTGCTCGCAGACTCGCGCAGGCGCGGGGTGCGAAGCGAAGATTGCACCCACTCAGCGCGTGCAACAGCTTTAAGCACGCATGCAGGGCGACTCACCGGAGACTTCCCATGAGACTAGATCCCATTTGTTTCTTGTGATTCAAGATGTGTAGCCAAGCGACTTGTTTGCTCGCATGTTTTGTGCTTTGCAGGTGGCGCAGGCAAACCGAGCAAGACCAGGCTGAGGACCCTTGAGCGATCCTCGTTGTCCTTCAGCTTGCTGCTGGTTCAAATTCTGACAGGCCGCCCGCCTTAAAGGCTGTTGAGCCTCACACAGCTCACAAGGTTGTTGACCTCTTTTTGTTTTTGCAAAGTTCGGCTGAGTCACTTATCATTCCCCCACCCACCCACCCTCCCGGTCAAGGTCGCCGACATCAGATTCGCAGCCACCTCTCCTTTGTGGGGCATCCGGTGGTGCGTGACGAGTTGTACTCCTCCTCTGCCACCTTCAACGCGGACCTGGGCCTTTGCACCAGGAACTTCCTCCACCGCTGCAGCCTCGAATTCGAGGCTCGGGCACACTCAGCTGGTTCCCGTTGGCTTCCCCAGGAAGAAAGTTGGGACATTCTCTAACATGACCTGACTCCCAAGTTGAAATTTGTTCAATGACAGGCTCCTCGAGACCCATCTGGTTCCAGCCATCTTTGTCTCCATAAGGCCAAGGGCGTGCGCCGCTCGGTGGAGGCGGTTTGCCCCACCGAGCTCCTGGAGACCCTCCGCCGGCTCTTCCCCTCGCCCTCCAAAGAGCTGCGGCGGTTTCTCAGAGACGGGGTGACGTGGCCGGGAAAAGCCGCCGGGAAAAGCCGCGCGCGCGCCAAAGGGTTCGACCCAGGTAGCTTCAAAAAGAGAGAGAGAGAGAAACCTACCCATGTGGCGAAGTTTTCGAGAAGCAGATTGCGGCCGCTTGCGTTGGGTTTTTGGGGAAGTTGCAAGGGCTGTTCCGTGGGGTGGGAGATGACGTGGCCAGGAGAAGGCATGGGCAGCAGATGGCGCCGAGGGCGCTGTGCCCTCGCGAGGAGCGCCTTGGGCCCAGGGACAGTGCATGCAGGAGCGTCTCATCTTGGAAACTGCTAGGAAGGGGTCGTGTGACTTGCAGTATGCCCCCATGTGCCGCAGATGGGGAAAGAACCCAAACTCGTGGCTCGTGGAATGCAGGACGTATGCCCACCCCAGCAGAGCTCCAACAAGCCGTCAGAAGCCCAGAAAGTCGAGGGTCGCTGCTTGTGGGGGCGCCGTCGGCCCGGCCTGCGGCCTTTTCCGGTATTTTCCGGTCCCAGGTGGCGAAGGCCATCCGCCCGGATGGCAAGGAGCGCGGTCCTTGGAGCCCAGGTGAATGTTAGCCCAAAAGCAACGTCTCGAAGCTGGCCAGGTTGAAGGCCAAGGGTCCCAAACGTTTTACACGTGGGACGGTTCCCCTTTGGTGAAAGGCTTCGAGGGCAGAAGTGGCGAGCCCTGCCAACGTCACGCGCGATGTTCAGGTCCCGCTTGTATGGCGCCGTGCTGGCGGTGGCAATGGGCCTCTTGGAGCAGCTGGAGAAGTTTTGTGGTTTGAAGACCCTCCAACAGCTCAGTGGACGCATTTTCCATGATGCCGCCAAGTCAGAACTCACACCCAAGTGTTGATCTTTGCAGGGCCCTGCCAAGCTGCCAAGCGCCCACTGCAGATTGTGAGGGTGGCGTTTGAGGCTGGTGGCAGGAGGTGAGTGGAGACGAGAAGCTCTTCCCCAACGCGTTGCTGCCCCAGAGCACGGTGCCAACGAGTCGACAAACTGCAGTGCAGAACAAGCTGCATCAGGCTGGCCCGCGCTGCCATCACAGCGTCGGGTGCCTGAGTGTTGCGCATTGGTCTCATATGGCCATGGGTCCAAAACCCGTACCTTCAGTGAACATCCCAATCTCCACTAAAATAGTCAAAAATGGGTGGTGAATTCACCTACCCCAAAATGGGATCCCATTGGTTTTGACAACCACAGCCATCCTGTGACTAGCTCACGGGAGCAAGCCGTTGGAGTGCGTGGTCCTTTTTAGGCGGAGGGAGCTCGGTGCCATCGACGCGGCGGTGAGGCCCCTGCTTGTGCTTGCCGCCAACGTTTGGACGAGGTCCACAAAAGGGCTTTGGTCTTTGGCGTTTGGTCTTTGGCGTTTCCTGGGCCCTACCACTTTTTGTCTTGGGCAGCATGGTGCATTCTGATTTTCAAATGGCCCTGGGTCGCATAGCTCGGCCCGCGCTGGACTTTCGATCAAGTACTGCATTGTCCAACTTGACCAAGCCAGCGCACTTGCCTTGCAAGCTGTTGGATTGCAAGGCCGACCCCAGCTCGCCGCATCCGCGAGCTCTGGGATGACCGAGAGAACGACCTGAAGGCCTCGCCGTTCGGTTGGATAGCATACGAGCCTGCAAGAAGGTGGCTGGGGAGCCAACACCTTGGCTGATAGAATGAGCCTCCTCCAAAATCAACCGGCTTTGGGTTCAGTGTTTGGAGAGCTCGGATGTGGGTGTGGGTCAGAATTAAGCCACCAGAGGACCGCAGGTTTTAGTACATGTTTCCATGTAGCAGGGCAACCCATTTTGGGGTTACCCATGTTGCCCCAGTTTTGACAATGCGAGCCTTGCCCCGCAGACCTCCGGCGCTTTGGCCATCGACCTGGATTCCGTGCCAGGCGGGTGGTGGTCAGTTGGCCACCGGTTTTGGCACCGAAGTCGGTGGTGGGACCTTGTGTGAGGGGATGGGACCTCGGGTGACCGGATCCCTTGGCGAAGTGTCCTGTTTCCTGCCAGGCGCTTCGGCTCCCCCTCCCCCCCCCACCCCCAAAAAAAAAAACACATGGGTCAGCGCGGAAACTTTTGGTCAGGGCGCACTTCAACTGACTCAGCTTCCAAAAGCGGAGGCCTCTGGGCCCGGCTGGCAGAGATTTGCCAGGCCTTGGCCTCAGCCACGTGTTCACTTGGGGTTGTCCGTGCCCGGATGCCAGTGCCGCGCATCGCAGCTTTGCCGACCAATGGATCGAGACCATGGCTCATTCAGCTGGAGACACCGGACACGTGCAAGCAGTCAGCGCGAGCGCACGCAGCCCAAGCAGCACGAAAACACCCCATCCCCCGCCGTTGCTTGCTTTTGCGGCCATGCTCAGCCTGGCGAGTGGTGTGCCAACAGGGCGTCCCTGCCCGCAGTGGCGGCCGCAACGCCCAGCTCAAGTCGCTGCTGGCCAGGTGGGCCTGTCGTAAGGGCTCTTATTTCATGCGCGGATGCAATGTTTGAGGTCAGCTACCCACATCAAACTGAAGATAGCTGTTGTGAGGGGGGGGGTGAGACTACAAGCCGTTCTCATGGCAACATTCTTTGCAGCCAGGCCCTCGTTGGGATGATTCATCGAAAGGCTAAACCAAAGTGAGGCGCCAAAGCCCCCATCTCTTCCTCGTCCTGGCAGTCGCGGAAGCTACGTCAGAGCAGCATCGCGCTGGTCGCCTGCGTGGCGGCGACCCGGGCGCAGGGCCGGCGGCAACGAGCCGCCCGCACAGCTATCTCGCCCCGCGGCAAGGTCAGCTGATGATGTTCGCATGCCGAACTTGCACAGGACGCGTGCAGAGCGCACAAGTGTCGGATGCGAGCATTCGTGGGATGCGGGGCAAAGGCAGGGCAGAGATTAATGCGTTTGCCACTCGAGGGTGTCTTTATGGGTCAACATCCAAGGATCGGAAAGGCATCTTCGTCTGACCTGCGCCCTGCTGCAGATGTGGCGGTGCGATCCTTGCGCTGGACAGCAGGCAGCCATGCGCATGTGTCTTGTGCTGCGTCGTGGCCGTGGCTTCGCTTCGGCGCCCGGTGACAGTTCCCGTGTTTAGTGGCTGGCCGGATGTTGAAGGCCTCACGCGCCAGGTTGGCTGGATGGAACAGAGTTCACGGAAGAAGACTATTCCCTGCTCGCAAGCAGAGAAGTACAGTCGTACCAATCGCTTTATTTGGCAGATGCCTGGCGGCATAGATGTTGCAGGGTAGGCGACGAGTGTTCGGGTGGTGGAGGGCCGTTGCCGAGCATTTGGCAGGACCGGGGGTATCCATGCACTTTCTTGGTTGCCAGAAGCTCGGAGCAGCTTGGCATGATACCAGTCTCATGGTTTGATGGTCCTCTTGAATGTTCAGAGCTGTGGCTCAGGCAGCGTGAGCCTGCAAAGGAAGCCAACTCCTGGTTTGATTGGGGTGGCTCAGGCGCTGGGTGTGGCCAAGTTAGAGCGTAGGCCGCAATGGAGCGTATGGGCCCCATGGACAGCCTGAATCGGGTTCACGGGGCTTGCTGGTGTCATCAAACTCCCCTTGCTGAGCTGATGCAGATTTGGTCAGACACTCCACTTCAATTTGTTTGCTCAGGCGTCCGTTTGTGCTACGGTTGGGGTGCAATGAGGAAATTGCCCTGAGTCACAGGCTGCCCTTTGGCTGTTGGAAGTGGGTGGGCAAGGCATGCAAAGGGGCTGGGGGCACTACAGATGCATTATGTTTTTCGATTGGAAGGTTGCCCCGGCTTTGGCTTACACACATGACTCTCTGCAACGGTCAAGCATCAGCCCTCGACCGCAAGAAGCAAGCACAATAGTCAGCAACACCATAAGTCGTGTTAAGCTCTCACAAAGCACAGCACATCAAAGTTACGGCAAGTTCCTCCAAACGAAAACTCAATGAGTCAAGTCATTTGAGTCATTTGAGTGAGTTGAGTGAGTTGAGTAGTTACTCCAAAAGAAAACTCAATGAGTCAGTTGAGCCAGTCCCATGAGTGCGTCAAGTCCATGGCGGAGCTGGTGAAGCGCCGCTTCGCGGAGTTCGAGGAGGGCGAGGGCCTGCTGAGCCGCGAGCTGCTGCTGCGGGTGCTGCGGCGCTTGGAGCCCGGGCTGAGCCGCGCGGAGCTCGAGCTCCTCACCGCGGAAGCGGCGGAGGCGGACGGCGCGGGCGCCGTGCGCTACGGGGCCTTCGTGGACGGCCTCTTTGCGGGGCTGAAGGAGGCGGCGCCAGAGGCCTCACAGGCGCCACGGGCGGCGGCACAGGTCTTGCAGGAGGCGAAGGAGGCGCAGGAGGCGAAGGAGAAGTGGTTGATTCGCGCAGGGCCGAGCGACTGGCAGCTGCCGCTGCGCTTGGCGCCGCTGCGAAGGCGCCTGGAAGAACTGGGCGCTGGCTTGGTGCCAGTGGTCTTGGAGCCGGGGAAGCCCTTCGTGGCTGTGTGTCATCTTGACCTGGAGCTGTGTCGGGCTTCTAGTGTGGAGTCATTGCTCCAAGAAGTGGCAAGCTGGGAGCGCTTGCCTGCCTAGCCTTGTCTTTGCCGCTGCCTCGCTGGAGCTTTCAAGATTTGGCGAGCTAGGAATTCCTGCTGCGCAGTCTTGTCTCTTCTGCTGCTTCACTCGAGCTTCCAAGAAGCCGGCTTTCCTAAAGCACGCAGAGCTGCAGAAGACAAAGAGTGTGTTCAAGCCAACATGCCAGAGGCGTATACAAACCAGGCAATCTGTATAATGCCGGGTGTTGAAAACACTATTTCAACAACTAGCGCCTCAGGCGGGTCTGCTTCGAGCGTGGTCGGATGCGTGGGATGCGAAGTGAAGTGCTTCAGCCGCTTGACGAACGAAGAGCTGCCAACTGGCAAGTATGACGGCGGTCAGCAGCTTCTTGACCGCAGGGCGTGGCCCCTCGACCTTTGCGACACATCGGCTGAAGTTTGCGCGCCAGGGTCGCGCTCAATGCCATTGCCATGTCAGACTCAACCGCATAACTTGCTTGAGTTGCCAGATCAGAGAGCAAGCGCCGGCATGCTCCAACTTTCGGTTTCAAAAGAGTTCTGGCCGGGATCTAAACCTTCACTCCCAACCCACCCTCAGCCAACCCGTCAGTCAGAATGAATACCCAACCGATGTTGACTTTTTAAAAAGCCCCGAATCATTCCAAAATCAACGCGCCGCGAACCAACCCCATCCATCGGAAGCCAAGCCCTGAAACCCATGCTGCACCTCGAATCAAACCCAGCCCAAACCACCCGAAGGCCGGCGTTGAAGTTATGCCTTGAGGGAGAGGGGTACGAATACTGAAGCCATGTGAAGTTGCACATGTTAATTTCCAGCCAAAGGTCTGTGCAATTTGCAGATACTGACAGCACCATCCACATATTTTCTAGACCCTCAAATTCCGATATGCCCAACACAAGCAACAGGAAAACCACATTACACACATATATATGTGTATATATATATATATATATATTTTTTGGGGGGGTACCAAAAACGAGCCACCCATATCTTTGCAAGGACAGTGCTTCGACCCGTGATGGCTGACTTGGCGGTCTCCTCCGACTCTTGGCACCGAAAATTCCGAAAGCGCGGAACCGTGTGGTTCTTGCCGCTTCGAGCGGCGAGGAATGATTGAGAAGTACAAATTGGCCCGAGATCCACCATCCAATGGTGGTTTTTCCCTAGATAGGCCAATCGGTTCCTTCCAAAAAATCCGGAAACTCGGTCCTAGCTATCAGCAGCAGCGAGTTTTTTGTGGCTGAGGAGTGCCGGGGCAAAGGCATCGCCCGGAAGCTGGTGGAGGAGCTGGAGCGGGTAGTTCTGGACTGGGGCTATGAGGAGCTGGTGCTGCTGGTGGAAGCCACCAACTTCCAGGCGGATCACTTGGGGTTTAACCCAACCACTTCTGTGATACAAGGGATTCTCCCCCCCCTTATGTGGGGGGGGAGTCTTTCGGAAGCCCTTCTTGTTGTGTCACAGAAGTGGTCATTTCCCACAGCCCCGAGGCGGATGGTCCAGTTTTTGAAGCAGAGCTGATGGCGATTTCTGCCTGCATGAGGCCCGTGGGGTGTATGGCCGCTTGGGCTACCGACTCGGTGGTCTACGGCTCGCAGAAACGAACCTTGCCGTGCATGGAACGGTGGCCTGGAAAGCCTGCAGTGGCAAGCGACTGAGACCTCAGGACCCTTTTCCTGGACAAGGCCGGCGCAACTCCCAGTGTGGCGGAGCGTAAGACAGAGACATGGCGGCAAAGTGTCAAACTAGGTACTCGGGGCGTCACAGCCATCCACGTCAGGAGTCAGTGCAATCCCGTCTGACAATGCTTCCCATTCAACCCGTTGCTTGTCATCCTTGCAAAACACGAAACAATCAGGCCGCACCCTTTTATTTGCTTGTTGTGGCATTTGGGCTCCGGAATGGGTTTGCCTTTGACCTTGAGGTTGCCTTCCTCCTGCGAAAGTGCCTGAAACCATTTCCACTGGGTGACCTTGAGAACACCGACTGGCCGAGTGTTCTGGTTGTTCTGGGACTGGGCATCGTGCTGGTTCAAAGGCCAGACCTGGTGGCAGAGTTGCAAAACAACTTGTCCACATTCTTACCTACGTTAGGCTCTTGAGTTTGCCTTGGGACAATGACACGAGAAGTTAGCGAATCTTCCTTGTACATCATGTTCCGTTGAAAGGAGGCTGCCAAGGCGAATGTCAGGTTCCTGGGAAAGCATCTCGGCGGCGTGATTTTCCGAGCGAGAGAAAGTGGACGAGCGAAGCGTGGGAATCAAGATTCTCGGACTTATTTGTTGGATTCGCACCAAACAACTGCCCAAAGGCGATCCCCAAGATCTAGGGCAGACTTTTCCGCGGCCTGTGGCCTCGTTCTTGGCCCAGGCCAAGCTCGGCGCTCGCCCTGGGCCCAGAGCATGTAGCTTCAGTGACACTGAGCTTATGGCTGCAGCCCAGACCCTCCCAGGTTCAGAGGTGGTTGTGCCGCACTGCGACAAGGAAGCGCAGCAGCCGCTGAGTCGCTTGGCCTGGCGGTCGCTTGTCGGTCGCCGCTTTCCCACCCAGTCAAGATCAATCGCAGATGCCCGACGAAGAAACATTGGGCCCACAGAGGGCAAACAAAAACGAAACCAGCTGCTTTGTCTCATGTGCTTTCCAAAGCCCTTGCACAACATTGCCCAGTTTGCCTGTCTCAGTGGTTGCGCCAGCTCCGAGCCATCTCAGGAACTCGAAATGGTGTATTTGTTTGTGTGCGTGCCTGTGCGTGTCTCTGCTGCCTCTGCGCGTGCATGCTTGTGTGTGTGTGTGTGTGTGTCGTTTTTCGTGGTTTTCCCGGTGGTTTCCCCATGCACTTCACCTGGTGCCGGCCTGAAGGCGGGCTCTGGGCAGTCATGAGCGGCCTGGTGGCGGAGGTGCTCCGAGCCTTTCGGCTGATGGACCTGGAGGCCATGAGGAGAGTTGCGTCCCCAAAATGGCTTCGGTGTTCGGCTCTCCTTTTGGTTGAACGCTTGGTTTCGCTTTGCTTTGCCTTGCTTGGCTTGGCCTCGATGTTTTCTCTTTTTTCTCCTCCTCTCTCTCTCTCTCTCCCTCTCTCTCTCCCTCTCTCTCTCCCTCTCTCTCTCTCTCTCTCTCTCTCTCTCTCTCTCTCTCTCTCTCTCTCTCTCTCTCTCTTGCGCTCCCTCGCAGCGTTCGGGTTGGCTTCAACGCATTGGGCTATTGGTCCTTATGGTTTGGGCTGTTGGTTTGCTGGCTGGCTGGTTGTTCCTGTTCAGTTGTTTGGCTTTTCGGTTGTTCGGTCGTCGTGGGATTGCTTGCTGTTAGGGATTACGCCCTGCACCCTTGGAGCAAACATAAGGCAGGTGGCTGTCTTGCAGAGAGAACTCAATGAGAGCAACTAAAGCGCGCATGTGCTTGCCATTGTGCTCGAAACTGGTCTTCAAATCTGCGCTGCCCAAATGAGCCATTAAGCTGCTCAGATCCGTGCGCCTCGTCCGTTTATCGGCTTATCGGGTTATCGGCGTCAGTTTGAAGCCGAGATTGGCAACTTGCGTTTTTGCCTTTGCCTCGGGTTACCGAGTTGAAGGGCCGTCCACGGCTTCTGATGGTTGCCCTGCCTTCATTCATACCATCATGCTGCTTCATGCTGCAAACAGTGCTGGTTGTTGGCAGGCCACGTGGTTGTCCGGGCATCACCCCTTCCAGTTCTCCCCAGCTGACCCTGTCCCACATACCTCAAACACCTCCCACAGGTGCTGACTGAGCTCCGGCTCCGGCGCCACAGCGCAGAGGTGGCAGAGGCACTTTCGGAGCCGATGCTTGCGGGGGCTTCTTTGTGCTTAAAACGGCGCCTGGTTGCGAATGCTACACGTCGTGTGCTGGAAGGGTGCAGCTTTGCATGATTCGCAGGTGGACAACGGCGGCTTGATGCCGGACAATCGCCGAGAGGTGTCCATTCGATGCTTCGTCCCCGATGGAAGCGAGTGGCCGGATGCCACCCTCAATTTGCACACCAAGGAGCGTCTGCTTGCTCAGCCATTTCTCGCGCTTTTGGGGCGCATGGGGACCTGTAGGAACTGTCCCATGGCGGTGTACAGCTTTGAACATGTCCAAGGGTGCGCTGACATTCGTCCCGCCAGGATCGTGAGGTATCGGTGTCTCATAGCATCAGGGCCCGGGGCTCGATGGCTTGGATGTCCAAGCCCGCGGCTCTGCTTTCGTTTGCTTGCCAGAGGGGGCCAAAAGGAACGCCGGCAGAAAGACCAAACGGGCGCAGGAAGAAAACTCACCGAGCTGGATGACCCCCCGCATGTTGACAAGCCCACGTAGCTTCGATGCCTTGACGCGTTAGAGCTCTCATCTCAGGCTGGAAGAGTTTTCGTTTGGTGGAGCCGCGGCGTTCTCAGGCTGGCCCGTGGCGGCGCCCAAAGATGGGTTTCCGCACGCCTTCTTCTTTGGAGGGGGGTTCTTTTTGGCTGTCCCTCCCCATCAGCCGGGGGATGGTTTTTGGTGTTGGTGTTGGTGTTGGTGTTGGTGTGTGTGTGTGTGTGTGTGTGTTGGTTGTGCTGAGGTCAAACCTTTCACCAAGTCTTAGGCCGGAGCTTGCTCACAAGTTGGCTGAGTGGCGGTGAGTTGGGGAGATGCACTGTTTGCTCGTGCACGCTTGGTAGGTGACGGCTACCTTGCCAGAGCCATAGCCAGCAAACTAGGGCTGGTTGCCTCCCTTTGCCAAGATCAAACTGTCCCCGGAGGTGGGCCGTTGAAGTCAGCCCGTCAAACCTGTCTGAGACCAAGTGTAGCAATGCAAATTCCTTCCAACCACCTTCCAACCACCTTCCAACCACCTTGGGACCGCTTGATTTCGCAAGTCCGCCTTGTTTTGCCTTAGGCCATGTGCTGCTGGGGCGTCGTGCCACAAAAGCCCCGCGCCTACAACCCTTACCCAGTGGGTGATTTCACGGAAGACAAGCCAACGTTAGATCGACATACACTTCTGGGGCATGTAAACGTAAAGCTCATGATTCTCCAGGGAGCAGTAGTCACGCTAAGATTCCACATCCGCGTCGCTGATGGTCACTTGCTTACTTTTTGATGTTTGGCCCCAAAGATGTGGAGGTTTGATTCATGCGCTGTACACAGAGCCTATTTGAACATTCTATCACCGTACGCCTTGCGTCAGGCACAAAAATAAGGAGTTGATTGCCAAGAGTGGCTACATGATTTGTCCTTCGAAAGTGTACACGTTCCGTGCACGTGGCCTTGGAATGGGGGATGCTAAAGAACCCCGAGCCCTATGCCAATTTCCGGCACGGATGTGTCGGCCGCCTATTTATTTTGTCGTTGGGCCCAAGCATGTTGGTTTAATTCGTTGACCGTGCTACACTTTGTTTCAAGGCCCCTAACATTGCACAACGCAGCCTAGCTCGCGGTACTTGGATTGTTGTGGTGTAAACAAAGTACGACCGTTGAGTGCTTCGTGATTGGAACTGCTTGTGAGAGTAAAGTGTCTGAACCCACATATTATACATGTCATTGACCGCGCTCCATTTACAAAAGCAGACATCCTTACATACATTGGGTCTTGTCCTCCACTACATTACTGGACTGGTCAGTGGGAAGTGTTCGCTTATGCTGGGAACCCGACCGTACATTTGCACATGCGAAGGTGTTCTCGCTTCTTGGCAAGTAGTGCACGCCGAAAGGGCATTGGCGTCCCATCGAGGCCAGACCTCTCGGCGCGAGCGACGGTGTCATGAGCGAGCAGCTTGGTGCCGCCGTAGGCCGGGGCAGTTCCAAAAGTTTTGAGCGCGATCAATGTTTCAATAGATTGGGCAGTTTCTTCACTGGTCTTTTGGCATGTCCGACTTTTCGGCTGCAAGTGCTTTGCCAGCGATGCATCAAAAAGTCAGGAGGCCAACGGAGGCTTGTACATAGGCTGGTTTTGACCGGCAACCGACGCGACGGAGATGCAGGGAATACTGCAAAAGCCGACTGTCGCCATGTGTGCATGCACAATCGGCGCTTTGGAGTTCTGACTGTGGACATGGGTCGGTTTGTTTGTCCTAATTTGTCCGTGGGTCTTTTAGGGCATATTATTGCTACACGGCACAATGGCGCGCAAATGTAATTGAACTGTGCCACGGCTGGAGCGCTTCATTCGCAGAATGGCACGCACGCCAAGTCTGGAAGGGTGTATTTGTGGGACTTTGGCTCCAGCAAGAGTGGGGGGCACTAGCACAGAAATGTCAAGACAAATCGTTGAGCAAACCCCTGATCCCGCTGTTCTGTTGCTGTACCTCATTGCTTCAGAACTTCGCGTGCATGTGGCGCTGACGGCGTTTGTGCTCGGCAACTTGGATGCCAATACGTTAAGGTTTGCAGGCTTCAGATTTCATTGCCTCGAGGGCTTATCCCATGCAAGGCATGTTGCCTTTACAAGCGTTTGTCCTTCCGCGCCAAAAGTGGAAGCGAGGGGCCGCCCTTTGAGGAGCCCCATCATGGGCAGCTCGCAGCCCGGCCCCCAGCGAGAGACAAGAGGCCAGAGGCGACTGAAGGCGCGTGAAGTCGAGCGAAGGCGAGTGAAGGCGCCTGAACGGTTGGTATTTGCGCCGCCCTCGCCAGGTTCGGGGCCAAATGTTGTATGGGCGTGGGATCCGAAGACATGCAAAGCAGGGCTCTCGGACAGAAAGTTTTGGGGGCCGGTCCGGGTTTCCTGTTGAACTAAGGCATGGTGTGCTACAGGTCCTGCGAGTTCAACGTGCAGGCTTCGACCTTTTGGCCCTGGCCACATGCCCCAAGCAAGTTGCCACCACATGGCCTGCAAGCGCAGGCTGAGACGTGTGGAGCGCCAACTTGCTGCCTTGCATGGCGGCTGCTTGGCCTTGATTGGGTGACTGGTCATGCAACCCCACAAATCTCCTCAGCTGTTTCAATGCCCAGGCTGGGTGCAGACACGGCTGAGACCCGGCTGCAGGGGCAGAAAGAGAACCGGCTTGCTGCTTTTGCCAAAATGGCATTTTGAGCAATTGGGCATCGGATGGGGACATAGCATGTTCTCTGACAAACTATCAAATGTGGTGTATATATATATATAGATATGTATGCTTGCATTTGAAGCTGACATTCATATTGCGCAAGCTTGTGACACTGATTTGACTGAGTGAACTTGAGCTATCCAAGAAGTAGTTCTTGTGTTCAAACAGGCAAATGGCCTTACCCTGTAACCGGGCATGATGATGCACCCATGCTGACCGAGTTTGGCATCAAGCTCGATCAGCTTCAAAGACTGCACGAGCAAGCGAGGCCCTTGGAAGTTCCGCCTTCTATGGGCAAGCTGCTTCGACCCCCTCTGGGGTCGATTTCCCCAATCAATTCAAAAGGCTGCCTTTGATGTACTTGAGTGCGGCGACGGTTTGCCTTGCCCCAGTGAGTTCTTCAGTGGCAACAGGGGTTCTCCGTTTGCGGCAACATGCAACATATGGGTCCATGTTTCCATTTCCAGGACTCCATTTGGGGTACATATTTTTGACCCACAGCCATATGGAAAAGTGTTGCACTCGGAGCTGAAGCGCCATGCTCAGGTTGCCAGCCATTTTAGCGTCTTCGAGGCGTCCGTCCTCTTCGAAGACGCATCTAGCGGCCCCTTGGCGGTCCCTAAGTCTCAGCGCGAGGTCTGAGACTTGGAAGCTGAGGCCTCATTATGGGGAACGGTGTGGACTATGCAAAGATGCCGGGGCCCTGGGGGCCCTGGGGGCTCGCAGGCAACTTGAAGACTCATACGACGGTGAGGTTCCATCCCAAGCATCCGAGGGCTCAAAACTCAAGATGGGAAGCTGAGGAATGCCACAGATTCCCTGATCCGAATGGGTCAGCTGCTGTGCAGGCGGGCGCGTTGCTCAAGCTGCAGCTGTGTTTCTCAATTTGCCTGAGGTGGGCGCTCTCGCAGCAGCCATCAATCGGCATCCAGGTGGGTGTCACTGGCTCAGCAAAGTGAGCACGTATCCAGATGCTTCAATTCCCAGACGTCCTCGTGGAAAACCTCATTTGTTGATGCCTCTTGCGTAGGCGGCTGTCTTTGAATTCAAGGCCTTTTTTTTGATGCAAGTGTTTGGCTTTTGTTTTGCTGGGTGTCCGTGTCGTTTGTTTCGTGCAAGTTGCAAAAATGCTTCCAGCGGTTCGTGTTTTGCTACGCCGCCCGGACTTCATCACAGGATCAACATAAGGATGTCAAGGTATTATTCGTGTTTTGTTTGTTGTCAGCCTGCATCACCCTTTTCTGTTTTTCCTGCACAGTTCTTGGAAGTGTACGCTTTTGTGCGCGTGCACATGTGCATCTGCGGGTCTGCGGGCCTACGGGTCTGCAAGTGTGGGGGGCCGCGGGTGGCATCGTGCATGTGTGTGTGTGTGTGCGTGTGGAGTGACAGAATGCCCTGTCACCACTATTAGTAGCAGGGGGCGTGGCCAACGAAGCTATGAAAGTTTGGCCGGAAGCGTTGAGGGACGCCTCAATGCGTACCTGCAAGTGATTCTGAATGTCTATTTGGCCCCCTTGGTTGCGGCGCTGTTTGTGCTTCTTGTTCTTTCGGGTAACGTTTTCGTTTCTAAAGTGAAGCCAAGTGACTTGCAAGCAGAACTCAGCCGAGACTCATCAGTTGTACTCGAAAGGTTAGCACCCTCCATCTGGAGTTTAAGTGTGTACACCCCATTCATGGGGAATCCTCGGGTGTACCCATTGTGTGACCCCGGGCCGGCTTTGTCGGAAAATTTGACCTCAACGTTCTTATCATAGAACAGCGGAATTTCACATTTAACCAGGAACGAGGTTTCACTAAAGGGAAGACAGCTCTCAGATCATAGAGACGTCTCACCATAGCTGCTGAAGGCTGCTGACTTGAATTGCATTGACTTGCATTTTGTTGGATTCGTTGCTCTCACCATAGCTGCTGATGGCTGCTGACTTGAACTTGCATTGACTTGCATTTTGTCGGATTCGTTTCTCTCACCATTGCTGCTGATGGCCGCTGACTTGAACTTGCATTGACTTGCATTTTGTCGGATTCGTTTCTCTCACCATTGCTGCTGATGGCCGCTGACTTGAACTTGCATTGACTTGCATTTTGTCGGATTCGTTTCTCTCAAGGTGGAAGTGTGACGGTTGTGAGTTGGTTGCGCCACCATGTCTCGACGTGATGATCGTGACAGATCCAGGACTCGGCGCAGACGTGATCGGAGTCCTTCCCCTCAAGCTCGTAAAGCACACCGACGCGAACACAATGACAACCAGGTCTCGGAGGGCATGGATTGGAACAACCTGGTATCCTGGCAACACAATTCCGGCTATAACTCCGCCAACAATTTCCCGGTGATGCCGACCAATTATCAATCGATTCCAAACCCCACGCAGCAGTTCCATCATTCACCGATCAACTACATGATGCCGGTTCCCCCAGAGCCCACGCCAACGAAGTTCATGACGCCCGTGATGCCGCCACCGGTCACTCCCTCGCAAACTACGCCATCACCTGGATACCCTGCAGCCCTGCCGGTTCGACCTCAGAAAGCGTGGCTTACACCATCGGCTGACTGGACACCTGGAGATGGCATGTTAGATATCAATCAGCTCTACAACTTCAGCTTGTTCAGGTCATTCATGGGGGCCTCACCAACTGGCTGCTCCGACCGTTTGCTCACGGCAGATTCGTGACGCGGGAAGGCTTTCGCACTCGCACCGAGGCCTTACTTTGGAGTACCTGTTCCAAACTACTACGACGATCACAGTCGATCAACCTGCTTACCTTGGAAAAGGACCTTGCCAATTCGCTGGGGCTCAACCTGGACGACTTCAATCAGCGGATCAAGGTTCATGACCATTTGGCCAACTTGGTACTTCAGTTTCTTCAGCAACACCACGCAACTCTCACGCCTTCTACACAGACGGATGACATGGTCAAGAAGTACAACGATCTAAATTGCGCTCATGAGTTGCTCCAGGCTCAGTATTCAGCATCGTTATGTGCTTCGACTTCCCCCACGGTGCCAAACCAGAAGGATGATGCAGAGTTGGTTACACCACCACCGGTCAACCACACACAATCTTCGTCACCTCCCAGCTCCCTCCCTACGGCTAGCGCAGCGGCCCTTGATGGCAAGTCGTTTGATGGCGCGGCGCAACCCCGGATCATTCAGTCTCTTCACGGACTTTCTTCACCGCCTTCCAAGCCGGCGGCGTCACAATTGCTCACCATGCACAGCACGCCGGATGACGTCATCAAGTACTACACATGGACTAGTGATCAGCCGCGCTTGTATCTCAAGCAATCGCCCACAACCACCACTTTAGCGTCATGGATCAAGTGGGCCAATCACCCGTCCCGTCTCAACGGCAACAAGTCCTTGGATTCCATGGCGATGCAACTCCTTCAAGCGTGTCAACGCATGCGAAAAGGAGACGCACTACGTTTGGGGCGATGGCGGCCCTGTGGGGACTGGAGCCCGGCTACCTCACCAAGCTCACTGACAAGGCGCTGTGTCACCTCATCGTGACCGCCCGCTTACTCAGTGGGTGAGCAGTCCCCGTCGTTCACTTATGAGCCCGGAGCGGCAGCTGAGTCACGGTTGAAGAGAGGTTCAAAACTCGTCCGTCCTCTTCTTGTTTGCACTTGTTTGATGATGCGCTTGTCTGTGCTTGCGTTGTCATTTGCTTGGTATTGATTGCCGCTTGTATTCATGTCGCCGCCACACTGTAGATTTCATTGGT